GATATGTCCGCGACATTTTGTCTTGCAACATTTTGTCCTGCGACATTTTGTCCATGCGACATTTTGTCCGCAACATTTTGTCCGCGACATTTTGTCTTGCGACATTCAGTCCTAGCGCCGAATAGTAGTTGATTGACATATGGGTGTGATGAAAAAAACGTGTCATGATAGAGATAACCATAAGTACTCATAGAACTTGAACTTGTTATGGTATATGTGCCTGTGGTATTAACAATGATCTCAATCACTTGATAGTATTTGTTTAATTCTGGATATCGTTCACTATTGAGTGTTAATGCACTAGCATAAGTTGAAATTGTTGAGTTTTCTGGAAATCCTGTTATATCTGGATATACTGCTGTTTCTTCATATCCAGTTGTCTCTTGATACCCCATTGTTTCTGAATATGTTGTCATTATTGTTGCTGTTCTTGTTGTTGTTACAGTATGTGCTAGAAATGTGAAAAAGTAAATAATGAATTAATTTGCGTATAAACTAAATTTTTCTTTTTCACGATATTCATTTATTGTGAGTGTTTGGTTTGGATAGCACTTTATCATTATGTTTTTCACATATAAACAAAACTTCAAGCATTTCTTTTGGTTCTTAGAAAATTTGTTAAGTGTGAAGGTGAATATGTACATCAGAAGAAAGCAGAAAAATCGGGATTTTGACTTCTCTTCATGTTTGATTTGTCGAACAACGTTAGAGGGAGAGAGTATTGTAGAGAAAAATCAACAAAAAAAATACAAATTGTCTGCTAGAAAATTTTCACTTTACGTATTTAGTAGTAGTATAACGAGGCTAAAGAATTCATATGTGTTTCGCGTGTTAGTCCCCAAAGAGACTACTCTGAATATTATTCTCAATTTATATCGCCTGATTATTATTGAATATTATGAAAAGAATGAAGCATAATGGTAGAAGTCATTGACTTTACCTAAAGTCGACTATTAAATTATATTGATTTGTTCGGGGAACTTGATTTTTGATATCGTCAAACTGGTTATTCTCTTGATTCTAATACTGACGCTGTGTGCAGATAATATATCGTTCAGATCTGCTCAAAATTGAATAAGCATCAAGAAAAAAAGCAA